CACAACAAAAATGGTGTGAATCAGTCTTGTTGGTAAATAGCGTAAACTAAATAAAATATCGGCATATTTCTAAACACTAAATCCAGTTAAAAGTTAAATTATTTAACTTGGCTTTGGATTGTTTCAAATTCTCAATACGTAACAACATATAAAAAAATGAATAGCGAGTAATTATTGTCCAAATAATAAAATCAGTGAAACGTATATTATAATGAATATAATATTCACAGTTCAGTAAACTTCTCTGCATATAATGGATATAATTGAAATTCTTGAGAAAAAAACCTTAATGGTGTATTTAAAATGTATGTTTCCTTATGTTTTTACTGGGAATTAGGAATGTTAATAAATTTTAATTTGATTTTGTTATTTAAGGTTTATAAATAAAAAATATTAGAACTCTGACAAAATTTCGGCTTGGGAAGTATAAGGTTAATACTTGTGAAATGAAATTTGAATATTAGGGTATTACTGACTGCGGTATTTATTGGCATTAAAATTATAGCAGAAAAAATACGTTTCCTGCTCATAATCAAGATTATAATTAATAATCACAAATCATTTAATTGATATTACGAATGCAAAAAACAATTAACAATTATTTTGAAATACAAATCGCCGAAGTCGTAAAACTACATTTGTTGCATGAGTAAAAGTTATTCATAACTACGTCTGATAATAAAATGATCTCGTGAAACTACTAACACTACGATTTTTTAAATCTAAGTACGAGTTTCCATAGAAATGGGCAAACAGAATAAAAACATTACATGTAACACTAAAACCACAGACTATTTTGTATAAATAGGAAAGTAGGGATCGTTGCTGCAATAAAAGTACACAAACGGTTCAAATTTGCCAACCAAAGTAGGGAATGTAAATCGTTTTAAAATCTATCCAGCTGGTATCACTACGTGTTTGTGTACTTTTTTTTGCACCAACAATTCATACTTTACTTTACATTTTTATTTTTTTCCATGTTTATTTGTTCAGTTTTGATATGTCCATGGAATGGATACAACATCAATGAACTTTTAGTATAGCCTTATCCCTGATAGCTGTAACTTTTATAAGAATTAAAACCACAATCTCAAATTTATAAAATTAATCCTTACTTTGGCCTATAGATACATGTAAAAACTGCCACAGTAGGGATTATATTTTATAAATTTGTGATTGTGGTTTTAATTCTTGTTTCATTGTTTTTTGAAGCAGGATTCCTACTTAATTTTTAAATTTTGTAATACTAATGTTTATTTGCTTTTACCTTTAGAAACTATCCATCGATATGTAGTGCCATCCGTTGGGTTGAAAAAATATTTAAGTACGTGCATGATATGCCTACCATTTATATTATACCTACATACATGGGTTTTTATCGAAGTATCAAAAGCAGATACCCACAAACTAATCAAGTAAGCTGGAGAAATCTTATAGCGATAGTCCTAGCCGTTTAGGCGCTATTCCCGCTGACGTGATCAGATAAGTAGGTAGTAGATGAAAAACTTGCTGTTTTTGAAATTTTTAAATAGCTATACCAGAAATGTTAGCGATCCTTTTGGTGTATTATTAGTATATATATGCATAATATATCGCATCCAATACTCTGAATGGTCGGTTTTTCGCATAGGAATTCGATAATGTGGTGTACGGCGCGTAAATTATTTGGAAACCTTGACGATCCCTACTATCAAGTACTTCCGTACTTTATAATGACAACTTGTTTGACTTCTTGGATGCTGAAAGTATTAAAATGGTTAAAAATATAGTTTTTATGTTAGTAAACTAGCTATACTCTTATTTCTATATTGATAATTATTTTAAGGCGTAAGTAATGAAGCTAAAGCTTGTGTATTAAAAACTAAACAAAAATAAAATAACGCGGTGATAGTCCAAATAATTATTTTTGTTTATTTGGAAGCAAGAGTGTGAGTCAACTCATAGATGTCGCTAAAATGCAATTGGCGTTTCAAAGCAGGCAATTATTTACTCTGTAAACTTGGTTTAGGTGATTCATGAATTTTGATTAAATTGAAATTAAGTTTTCCGACATATTAGGATTAATGAGAATGGAAGTTCAGAGTTTGTAGGTATTTGAAACAAAAGTATTTTTTCGTCAATAAAATAAAGGTACGTCTGTTAATGTTATGACACAGTATTGAACTAAATTAGTAAATGTTGCTGATTTGAGTCTTGCACGATTGTTATTTACAAATTACAGCAAACAATATCATTAAAACTAAAGTGAAAGTAACTAACTAATGAAATAATGCATTCTACTCATGATAATTTTGAACAGTATATTTAATTAACTATTTGTTGCTGGCTATATTTTTTATTTTGATCTGTGTAGGTAGCTTTTTTTTTTATTAGAAGTTAATATTGAATAGAACATACCTAGAAGTTACTATATAAAATTTATTCTGTGGAATTCACATTTCTTACTTTTTATTTTAAAGAAATAAAAAAATAACAAACCATAACTGTAATTTTTTCTTATTCTAATGTGTAGTGGAAGAAAACAACAACAAGCATCACTAGTATATGTGTATTTTTTATATATATTAACAGCTTGGTAATGCCAAAAGCAGTAGGACTAAAACATCAAGATTCTATGACATCTCATTGTTATTATGGCTTCCATGAGGAGTCTGTACAGGAGAGTGGCTTCCTGCAAGGGCATTGTGTAACCAGTAGTACACATTCTACATGTACCAAACAGTCGGGCCGCTTGCCACTGTGGACTTGGAAGTTTATTGCCAGGTGTCTTGGTGTTCCTGTTATTCCAAACGAACGTCCTGTTTTAGGAACTATAATTCATATCTTGACCTTTGCTTCAGCCCTGACCTATGCTGTCGCACATACTTGGTATGTAGCTTATGACATAGCATCTGTACACACGAAACAAAATGCCCAGAATGGGACGGTTAGTATCATACTAGTATTTTGCTGGTGTAGCTTTGGATTTTATTCCAAAACTCTGAGTGGACGACTCTTTCACCACCCTCGCTTTACCAAAGATATCCGTATGCATGCACGAACATTCTTTAAAATCAATGCAGCATTTTTAGTGTTCCTTCTTGGTGCTGTTTTCACTGTAATAAGCAACATTAATGGACTTGAGAGTTTCTATGATAGACACTGTGAAATGATTGACCTCAGCAAACTTGTATGCAAGGTAGAATACGTGGCTAGAGTAATCTTCTCTGCATTTTCTCTCCTGTGGATTACACTGGTAGCTATTGTTTTAATTTCAGTTTGTCGAACACACACCATAGGTAAGTTCAACTCTTTTGAAGATATTGTAATTTTTGTGCTCTGTTTCTATCTTATTTGGTTTTCACATTGACTAGAGATTATAAAGTGAAACATATAATAATGCCTAAGATCTAAATGTGCAAACATTCTGCTTACATTGACCCACCTCTTTTACAAGTGAATGTAGGTAATAAAGACAATGGGAAAAAATAAAATGGAAAAAGTCATTCAGAAAAAAAAAAAAAGATAAAAGTAAAAGAGACAGAAAATTACACAAACAGATTAAAAAAAAAGTCAAAAAGTGTCTTGGAAAACAGTATTTTAGGATTTTTTTTACTTTTTTACCTGTTTATATAATTTTCTTTGTCTTACAGTTTACAAATTGTATTTGTTAATAAAAAAGTAAAATGCTTATTTCGGAATTTGTCATTTTATACCATTCCTGAAGTACAGGACTTTTTTTTTTACTTTTTTACCCATTTATGTAATTTTCTTTGTCGTTTTTTCCATTGTCATTTTTACCCTTGTCTTTATTATTGTCTACAAGGAACTACATCTTGTTGTTGTTACAGATGTATGGAATAGAAATCAAGAGTCACTAACATGAATAAGTTAAAAGTAATATATTTCAATTTAACAATAAAAGGTTGTTATTAACCACACTCAGAAACCTTTAGTTAATAGTATAACTGTAATAGTCTAAAACATGAATATTTGGTGTGTTTTATTTCCTAAACTGTGTATGGAGCTGCTAGTTGGGGGAACTTTTGAAATTATATACATAACTTTTTAAAAAATATTTGTAAAAGTGATTGGCGATCATTAGTTGAATATGTGTTGTATTCATATAACCTTCTACAATAAACCAGTCAGATATTGGGTGCCATTAAGAAGTGACTGAAATATAGCATTCCTTTCTTTTTTCACTGAAGAATAAAACATGAAATTAAGATAAAAAATAATGTACCAGCTTCTGAAATTCTTGAACAAGAGTGATAACCTTTTAAAACTTAAATTTTACTATAAGAATTAAGAGATTTATCTGACACTTGGAATGTGATGTTTTGTTGATGCTCTTTCTCTTTTTTGTACAAGATTAAAGATATTTTTACAAGGCTTAAAAACTCATCCTGTAACTTGTGGATTTTATTAAGAATTAAGTGGTTTTAAATAAGGCTTAAAAATTCATGCTGTAATTTATGTATTAGGTATTTTATTAAAAATTAAGGAGATTTAACCAAGGCTTAAAAACTCATGCTGTAACTTGTGGATTTTATTAAGAATTAAGTGGTTTTAAATAAAGCTTAAAAATTCATGCTGTAATTTATGTATTAGGTATTTTATTAAAAAATTAAGAAGATTTAACCAAGGCTTAAAAACTCATGCTCTAATTTATGTATTGTTTATTTTTATGAAGGAATAAGGAGATTCATCCGGGACTTAGAATATGATGCTGTGCTATATGCTAAGTATAACTCCCATGTTCATCAGTTTCAACCAGTTACAAAAGAAGACATTTGTCAAGGTGTGATAGACAGATTGTTTATAAAGTTATCCGTGTATATGTTGAATAAAATATTGATTTAACTTAAACTTTTTCATTATGAGGTTCCAACTTTACAAAATGTTTTGCCAGTGTTAACAGTTTGATGATAAATATTCAGGTAAAATTTACATGGTTTTCGGCTAGCGTACTAATCTTGAAGTCAAAATTACATAAAACTTCTTTTCATGTTTTTACAGAAACCATCTGGTTAGAAGAACAAGTTCATGAATCAGGTGACTTGAGTGATAGTGCTGATAGTTTTGTTTTAATCCATACTTCACTCGGAGGTGTCAGAAGGCATTCCAGATCATTCGCTCCCCTGGTAAAAGAAAACACCCACACCAGTTCACATGATAAAGTTGAGGTGAGTCCAAACCAAAACATTCCCGTAATCTCACAAGATGAAGGTGATGCTAATTTACCCGAGTTAGAGGGAGGAATTAGCATTATTGCTCGTCCTATTTTGGAAGAAGTTCAACGAGAGGAAATTCTAAAGGATAATGAGAATGAAGTAAGTAATTTGAAAAAAAAAACATCATTATTTGTTCCCAATAATTTAGGCATTATTCAGCCACACTGTAAATGGATAAGAAATTTTCCTTACAGGTTAGCACCTCTATTTTTCTGTAGTTTATTCTGTATTCTCTTATTTAAGTAGTAAGCAAACGTGCGTGTTTTCTAGAGTTCATCAGCTGATGCCAGACCTAACAATGTTAAGAAGCTCGTCCTTACTCCAAACACAGATGACAATCTAAATACAAACGCTGCTTTGTCCATTGCTGAAATTCTACATAATTACTGGAAGATCTCTGTAAGTACATGTTCACTGTTTGATATACTTCACAAAAGTAATGTTTCCACTTAGTGAAGATTATAGACTAGAAAGCCTCTACTGCATTTTAAAACATTACCATTAATAGCTGGGAAACAGAAAGTAAACAGATAAGGACTGTCAAGGGCAACAAATTTAAAACCTACAACAGTAAAAGTGTGTATTTTTTTAAAAATCAGAATTGCAGACAGAACCAATGTTCCCTCTAATTTTTTCAATCAATGTGTAGAATGTAATTTTTCATGTGCACCAGTATCAAAGCAATTTGCAGATGAGTGCTACCAGTTTTTTTTAGGGGTAGGGGTATTTTTAAACCATTGACCCTATTGGATCATCAGGATGCTTTGCAATGCTACCAGTTGATTATTTGGGCTTTGGGCCTATCGTCTGCCAGGGTCATTAAGGCCATCAATGTGTTGAGACTCCTTACCATTACTGAGGATGTGCGTGGCTGGAATAATGAAGTGTGCGGCACTTGATTGGTTGTTGTGCAGCTGCACAGCCTAGAGGGAACACTGGACAGAACATAAATTACATGAAAATGATTTATTGTTTTGTATAAAAATTTCACTTATTTAACTTACAAAACCACAAAAAAGAGTAATTTTTAACCCAGATGTTTGTGAAGTTGTCAAAAAATTGTTTAACAGCTGTATTTATTATTCTCTTTTTACCAATATGCTTTTAAACATCACATTGTAAAGAAAATTAACTTTCTTTTTAATGTGTAGGATATTTGGAAAAAAAAGTAAAGTCTTTGTTAAAAAGCTACCAGTGAAAAATATCAACGTTTTTTTCAGGTGAACATAACACGGTATTTTGGAATATTCTGTGAAGGAGTACAAGACTGTATAAATATTTTACTCATTAGATAACTGTAACAAGTGCTGTATTTTAATATTCCAGTGTCGCTTGAGGTTGTCGTCCTCTGCTCTTCAGCGATGGGTGACTAGTTACATCGCTTTGGTTATTGCTTGGTGCAGCGTGTATCTGGTGTATTGGGTTAATAACTCTGCCACCGTCTATGATGTCATCCAGTTTATTGTGCCTTTAATCCTGCTCCCACTTCTATGCTCTACTCTTGCTGAAGTCAACTCAGAAGGACAACGATTGGCAAAAGTACGTTAGTGTGGGACTTGTGAAAGTTGGGTTTAAGAGTTATTCACGCACTAGTGAAATTTCCTCATAGTTGAAAGATAATTTGATATTTTGTTATAAATTTTAGTGAATACTGTAATTACATACATAAAGCTTTGTTATACACAGTTATAAATGTAATATCTTAGTTACATAATTAACCCACATTGAATCATAAATTTAACTGTCTTTTAACAAATTGTAATTTAAGTAAGTACATGCTTTAACATCTCTTTTTCCTTGTATTATAGACTGTAGTTCTTAATATAAGTTACATCTGTAGATTTAACCATGGTTGATATATTTTCAAAATGATGTTTTCCCACTTTATTATGAATGATGTTCACTAAGATGTTCCGTGTGTGCATTTTCACAACCTTCTGTCTAGCTGAAAATATCTTAACTTTGAAGTTTTGTTATTTTTAAATATATTTATGGTTCTACAAATTTGACAAATCTTTGTGTTTTTGTTTTCTTCACAGTCCATCTGTCCAACTGAACATCGTCTACAGCTCATCAAGTTTCTCAACCAGAATCCTCTCCAAATGACAGTAAGTAACTGTAAAGATCACCTCCAGGTGGTGTAAATAGATAACTAATATTACCATCCAATCAGAATGAGCTATGTACTTATAGCAAAACTAACAGTAAACTTAGTTTCCACTTATAAAGATTATAACACATTATTGGAGTTGTATATCTTTGCCAGTATAATATTCACAGGGTTTGGCCAATTTAGGATAGTCCTCCAAAAGAAAAATAAAGGCATTTAATATATTAAATAGTTGATGAACTTAACAGTACACAGATACCGGTTTTCTGTTTCATGTATTGTTGTAAAAGAAAATTGTTTTGTGTAGTGTGATTATTTTCCCTGTTCCTCTCTGTCATGCCTTTTGACCAAAGAAAACACGTTAAGTCCTAGAGTGCAGTGTCAGAGGGTAGTAACATTTGTATTTGATATGTTGCTGTTTAAACTCTGTAGAGGTTACAGCATCAGCTTTCCTATAGTACAACCAAAAAATGTTTATGAAGATAAAGAATAAATGAAAAAATAAAATGATCCCTGAAAATATAATAATGTTAAATGTAATACAAAGTAAACAACATGCTAACGATAACATGTGGTGTGTCTAACAAACTTTACCACGCACTATCCTTTGTAACAAATGCATAGAACTCGCTACATGGAATAATAAATAATGTTACATCTTTGGTCTTAATGGCTTTCTACAAGTGACAGAAATGGTTTTTATCTAACAGGTTTATGGCTATGCCCTGAATCATGGAACTATTATGACCGTCTTCTTTGCCATTCTTGTTGCCTTCACTTCACGATTGGTGGTTTCTGAAATCAATACTTAGTAAATCAAAAACCACAGAGCCGAAGATTCGTCGCTACTTGCCTCACCATTATGTGGAACGATTTATGCATACAATGTTTCTCATTATAACTGGTACAGTGTTGGAAGTAGTGACCAGAGGTTAGCTTGACATTTGAATGTTGCTTATTATCACGAATGCAAACCAAACATAAATCTTCTCAAATGTTAAATTTCAGTGAAGTGTTTGCATATCTTTCACTTTTTTTGGTAAACTTAGTTTCATTATCTTGCAAGGGTGTGAGCAAAAGTGCTAATATTTTTATGGTATGAGAGGTGAAGGGGTTAAATTTATATCATTACTGTATAAAACATATACATTAGAAGAACAGGCGAGGTTCTAAACGTGTCTTCCTCCATTCTCTAATGATACATATGAGTGCATTTTTTAAACAGAAATTAGTTCTTGTTTGTTTATTTTTAATTATGCACAAAGCTACACATGGGCTATCTGTGCTCTGCCCACCACATGTATCGAAACCCGGTTTCTAGCGTTGTAAGTCCGCAGATATACCGCTGTGCCACTGGGGGCAATCAGTTCTTTTTTACACTAATAATAACGGTTCTGATCAACAGAATAACTGATTCAAGATTTTTATTTGGCATTATTATAGGCATTTTTATTAAGATGGAATTCAAACCAGTCAAAGCTTGTTTATATATATATTTTAATATATATTGTTCTGTGGTTAGCGGTCTAAACTGTGATATTGTGTAAGTGCACATTCTAAAGTGTATATATATATATGTGTGTACCTATAAACAACGGAACTAAATATTAGTTTACAACTGTGTCTGTAACATGGAGAAAAGTATTCATTATATATGTATGTGTTTAAATACTGATTAAACATTTCTATTTTATGTTTTCGAGTATAAGCTGACAGAGAAATATTTACATTTAAATATTGATCAAATGTTGAAATTGTTTAAAAAAGCCAAGGAAATTGAAAACTTGTGCTTAACTTTTAACAGTTAATATCAGTGTGTAGATTTACTTGGTATTTCCTTCCCCTGCTTTCTTGAAAGATAAAATCTGTGATTAGAGATCAAAAGAATAAACCTAATAGTAATCTCATGCTTTATAACAAAATACTGATGCTGGGGATGTGACAAATATCTGTGTTAACATAGCTGGATAAAATATGTCTACAGGTAGTGTTGTCGTCTATTAACCCAGCAATATGAACTAGATATATATATATATATATACACACAGCATGGTC